CTGGAACTGCAGGGCACTTTCTGGCGAAATGTTTAAAAGCCAATAAGTCCAGACAGGAACAACATATTTTCATTATTTTGGGTGTGTAGGTAGCTGAGAGACAGATGTACATAATTAAATGTAAATTATGCAAATGAGGACTTTATTTGCATAATTAATGAGGAAATTCTATAATTACAGTGTTTTACATTATACTATGTAACCTATAGCAGGCGGAACTTCAACAGATACTAATTATGCAAATGATGACCTAATTTGCATAATTAATGTGAAAATTCTATGATTTCGTAATGGTGAATGATGAGAATGTCATACTTGGGACATCTGTAAGTTAATCAAAAGTTAACATACATCACGATGCATATATCATGTTAATGCAGAGGTCATTTGAACAATTAAAGAAGAAATTTACATTTACATATCAAGATCATATTTCATGGAGGTATGAGATCTCGGAATTCTAGTTCAGAATATTTCCAGTTTTGCCACCCTGAAATTGCACCGGATGTCTTTAAGATATAAATTCGCGCTCCAGTTTCCCCCAGTGTTTAGTCAACATACTAACTGTACCACACGGCAAAGGTGCACTGTACAGGGCTCATCAATCTGTTATTGTTAAGTATTATTATTATGTGTTTAGTGACAAAAGTCCCACCACGCCCCATTTATTGCATAGTATTAAACAAATATAAATCAAGGTCCAAATTGTACATTCAGTTCATCTGTATAAACAATACTTGTAGTTCGTGTCATGACCAACAGTTTACAGCAAATAAAGTGGAGAAAAGGTCTAGTGTTGTTTGCACTCACTGTGTCACCCCCTTAGGCAAAAATGACGACTTTGAAAGAAACTTTAATTTATGTGTCCACACCCTAGACTAGACAATAGTAAGTTGTACGTCAGAAGGCAGTGCCAGGTACAAAGTTGTACACGACTCCAAGTTGCCTGGGGGGGGGGGGTTGAATTGAGGAAGTAGATATCTCTGTAAAGGGAACGACTGAAGTTGAACGTTGTGAATTCAAGCTGTCAAACGTTTTATTTTTTGCATTGTCGAAAAATCCAATCAACTATCATTGAATAGACGGTTATGACAGATTATAACAGTTTATTAAGTTTCTTTTTGATGTTAGCCACTTGTTATGCGTTGTACATTTACTAGCCAAAGATCTATTATACAATGCGTATGGTTCCAAAGCTTGGTTATATTTCCACGTCGTTGAGGGCTTACTGATTTCTTGTATGACTATCCCGAAACACGAGCTTGTTTCACTTCAGGGCACGAATACAGTATCACTGGCAGTGCTATATTTGCACTCCCATGCAAACACGGAAAATGGAACATAAAGGCCCTAATGAGACTTATGCTAACGTTGGTGATTTTGGAAAAAGTCCAGTAGTAAAAGTACATCGATCAACTGAGTCAGAGGCAACCTCTACTGTGTAGCTGACGGGTACATCTGATAGCTTATTCACCGGACATGCGCAGGTAAATTTACCGAAGGGCGGGGTGTTTGCACGGATATGGTCGGTGGACCGCGCGGTCCCGGTCCAGCTAACATCGTTCTACAGGGCCTGCCAAATCTCCAAGCAGATACACAGAGTAGGGCTCAGCTTTCAGCTTATGTATGTGCGTATACGCTATTTTATAAGCTACAGTCTAAACCAAGGGTTAGATATTCTTCGTCTAACATGGGAAGTCTGCTGACAAGGAACAAAGACCTCACTGCGCATTTTTATTACTTCCTCCTGACGATCGTCTGTGTTTACAAAATATTGACGACGCGGTATGGAAACAGCACTTAATGCTGGTTATATAGGTCGATTTACTGTGCACTGACCAGAATTGCAGTAAAAAAAGGCAGGTTATACACCATGAAGACCATAAAAGACACTCAGGCGCAGAGAGCCTCTTTGGTACTGAATAACGTGAAGTCACTTCCTGAGTTCAAGTTCTTACAATGTATAATAAACTGTTCATGAACTCACAGACCAAATAATGGCAACGAAAACATAATTATAAATCCTTCACTGACGTAATTCTAGCGACAAACAAAAAGACGCTAGCCCAGGTTGGCCTCCGTTACGAGGATATTTTTTACGGAGACGGCTCAGGACCAACACACTGTGGGACCAACAGGTCCCGGGTTCGAATCCTACCCATATTCACCGAATGCCCCCCCCCCCCCAAAAAAAAACTTTTGTGGTGAGTGCGCTGCGTTTACATACGCACTTTCCATCATGCACTACATGCACAGGTATGTGGTATTTGGCAATAAAGATTCAGACATGGCAGGCTGCCAGGTATGACATAGTGGAAAGTTCCACAGCGGCCCTCAGGCCGTCCTTTTGTTGAATATTGACAGCAACAACCTGCCGCAATGCGCACTGGTGCTTGCCAGGGTGTTCAGAGTTGCTATAAAGCGCATCGAAAGCTCTCTCGGTCATTATGATAGTTGTGCATGGCATGACCATGAACAAAGTACTTGGGAATGTCTCTTATAACGAATATATGCAGATATTCAGCCATTTTCGTTGTGGAGGAAAACGATATACGAATACGTACACAGCTACAAACTTGAGATCGATCAAAGATTAGCCTACAACGATTAGCACAAGAAACTTATAGATTGGTCAGCATTATGTTGTCATTGAAACTTGCGAATAAGAACAAAAGGCTAATCCATATTCCTGGCCGCATGTTTCAATGCAAGGACAGGACTAATAAACTCAACACAATGTCCTTGTCCAGAGATACTGACGCGAGGTCGTCAGTCGCATAACAGCAAAAATTCGTGCGTCATTCTACGTCTAATTGCGTCATATCTTCAGAAAACCTTGACTCTCAACCGCGCAGGTTAGCCTCCATAGCATGCCAAAAACTTGGGGTTTTGGGGGTCTTCAGGGTCTTTGGGAGCTTTTATGTGCTATTTTTTGATTGCATATATACAACATAGCCGGCCTGGTTGAATTACCCCCGTTTTTTTTAGAACTGGGCTAATCAGAAAACAGCCGAAGACCACCAAACCCACAGCTCTATAAGCCTGCTACGGAGGCTACGTGCTGGTGCAGTCAACTCGGCTTCTTCCGGCGAAATCTCCGGAGATGGCCGAACGCCACACATCGAATGCCCGAAGGTGACGTCACCATACGCCCGAGGACGACAATTTTAGATCATGACATGATTGTCGTCGTAGCTTGGCACGAATTTTAAAGAACCGCCCTGAAATGTAGCAGGGTTGTGACCTGCAAGAGGTACAGGGTCCACACCCAGTAATCTTGTCTGTACATGCCGTGAATATTGTACCGGTTTGCTAGAAGATTTGATGATTCTACAACGTAAATGCCTAAACTTGTACATGGTGCTCAGACTAACTTTGGTATCGAAAACAAAGAAGTTAGTATCATATATACGGGATGAGCATATGTAAAGGCCTCGTTCTTTCACACTTGAGTTAACACGACCAAACGAACACTGATAGGAGCCCCCCGGGCATTCAAAATCTAGTAAGTCAAATGCGTATGCGATAAACGAATCTCTGATTTAGACAAAACGTTTTTATGGTAAGAAAGAATGCGAATGATCATGAGTCAAAGTGTATACTCTCACCAGTAAAATCATACGGTATTCAGAGTGAAGGAGGGAGTGTGTATTGTGTTTGATGCTATTGTTTAAAACAAATGACACTTGTACGTAAGTTGCCGCTGGGTTCGACCGACAGAACTGCGTAGCTAGCTTAAGAGGGATTTTGAGCTCATTGCTTTAAACCATTTTTTGTACAACCATAGGTTATCTGACAAGTGTCGTCTGCCCTTGAGCGAGGATACGTTGTATTTGAATGACCCTGGCCGATATTTAGACAGATGCACGCAGATAGACCGATAGACCAATGGCGATCAGGTATTCAAAACGCACCAAAGATACGACGTCAGTTTCAAACAAAAAAGTTGACATGTTTTTGTCCATGCAGTCTTTGTAGTTATAATTTTTTTTAATGAAGACCTTTGAAATCTATATACCTATAATGTAATTTCAATGTAGAACGGCAGAAGATACAAGTAGAAGCTCCACCATCGTGATACATAAATAAGACATAAACATCAACCTAAAACCATGGACTGTTTACTCAAGAGAATATTTGAATCTACCAGTGTGACAACTATTGACTACTCTGAACATTTGTACATGGTAACTGTTACAAACATTTCGTGCCAGGTGAACATGTATATGTGTGACAACAAAAGCCGTCTTTCTTCACGCACAAAAAGCGGTTCCCATGCTCTGAGCCAAACGGATTTTGGAGAGAACAATAATACGTGTTCTACATGTATAACGACGTCGCCGTGCCTTCTGAGTGTAGAGTGTATTCAGTTTAAAAAAATAACATTCAAACCGTACCATAGTAAAGAAATTCTGTACCAAGAGGTCCCGGGTTCGATTCCTGCCATGCCACAGATCTTGTGCCCTTAGGAAAGGCACTTAACACGACTGCGCTCACTTTCCTCACGTGAAAACGAGTACTGTCTGTCCTATATTTGTTTCTATGTGTGGGACACAACACCAGTAATAGCTGAGTGTGTCCCACGTGTATTGTATTGTTACAATTTCAATATAATCAAGACTTCTGTACACTTTGGAGTCTGTTTTAGCCAGTGGCGGTCCACAAAATGTCCAACCTACATCGGTGTCGTCTGTACCCTGGTCTGTACCCACCGGGCGTCTGGGCCAGGTGGGAACAAAACGGTAAGCGGATACCTGCCTATTGTCGCCCTGTCATAACCTCCACCAGGCAGTCTACGGGAATTCGGATCATAGAATTCGGGAAGAAACGAGAGTAAAATCGGCCAAGGGAGTCCGGCCGCGGGGAGGTTGTTTCTTTCCCTCCGCGGCCAGTCAAACCCCAAGGCGGCCAAACTGCCCCGGCAAACATTCTCCTATATATATAACCAGCGTAGTTAGTCTGGTAGAGACTAGCCCTGTCAGGTGAGGTGTTCTCCCTACCTTCCTGTCCACGGGAGCCGACGTGATGGGGCCGGGTAGGCCGGGTGGTGGTTTCTCCCGTATGCCGCTGGACCGGAGCCCTCCACCCTGGTGGTACTCTGGGTTGTAGGTGTACATGTTTCACTCTCACAGCGTCGTCTCTCGCTACTGTGTGCGGCCAGACCGTGAGCTATAACTTATAATAACCTAGTTGTGCGGAAGGCACCACCCCCTTGACAAAAACCCGTTTGGCATATCTAATACATGTCGTTGTATATCGTCACTTTGTAGATGTTGTATATGTACATTACAAGTTTTGTATTCATACTGCATGTCAAGCGATATACAAATATGTATATATAAAGAGTTTTCTTAAACTATAACCAGTTGTAGCAGGAAAGTAGTTTTTATCAGCTGTGTTTTTCAGCTAATTTTGTTTTCATTTAAAAGTTTTGTCAAGGGCATTCATTATGTCATTGCTTTTACCTTCTAAATCGCTTGATAAAAAGACTTCAATGAGGCCAATTTCTGTCCACAAATCGCAAAGAACTAAACGTTAATCCGGATAATCCTCCATTCGGTGGGACTAAATCCCCCAATCATTGACAATTACAGGAAGGCTGCAGGTAGACGAGAACCACAGTGTCTTTGTTGTAAGAAAGAAGCCCCTTCCTGTTGTTATTCATGAAGGGTCTTGGATTAAGGTGTGGTGCTAGTCTCCGCTACAGTCGCCACAGCGGGCGGTCCTTAATCTCCAAGCAGATCCTAGGGGGGCAGAAGACAGTATCAAATTGGCCAGGCAGTGTCCATTCGCCAGAGAGGGTCCATACACCACACAATGGATAATTTCCGGCCAATGTGATATATATATGAATATACGCACAGAAAATAGCAGCCAAACACACACACACACTCACACACACACACACACACACACACACACACACACACACACACACACACACACACACACACACACACACACACACACACACGCACACACACACACACACACACGCACACACACACACACACACACACGCACGCACGCACGCACGTACGCACGCACACACAGACACAGGCACACACAGACACAAGCACATGCACACACACAAACACAGACACAGACACACACACACACACACCAACACAAACACACAAACACACACACACACACACACACACACAAACACAAACACACACACATACCACGTGCAGATGAAAAATGTAACTTTGTAAGGTTCTATACAAATGTCCCTGACATCAGTTTTGTTATGGTTACATCAAGGTAAATACATACAGCTTAAACACACCAAGTCTTTTGTAGAAGCTTGATGTAGTCGTAAACACGCCCTGCCATGAA